TTTTACTATCTATCTATCTATCTATCTATCTATCTATCTATCTATCTATCTATCTATCTATCTATCTATCTATCTATCTATCTGATGGGGCCGCAGAATACGCCGACTGCACCTCTGTAGATGGCTAAGATATTCGAGAAACGTTTACCTCCAAATACCTACCTCATAGGCCCGAGTAGATGAAAATTAGTGGGTCAGGACTGAAGAGTGGATGTTGTTCAACCATTTGATTTTTGACTATCTATCTATCTATCTATCTATCTATCTATCTATCTATCTATCTATCTATCTATCTATCTATCTAACTATCTATGTTTGTTCATTATCTATCTATCTATTTATCTATCTATCTATCTATCTATCTATCTATCTATCTATCTATCTATCTATCTATGTTTGTTCATTATCTATCTATCTATCTATCTATCTATCTATCTATCTATCTATCTATCTATCTATCGCCTTGTCGACTTGGGCTGTAGAATATGCTGACTGCACCTCTGTAGATGGCTAAGATATTTGATAAACTTTCACCTTCATTTACCTACCTCATAGACACGAGCAAATGAAAAGTAGTGTATTAAATCAGGACTCTAGAGTGGATGTTGTCCAGCCATTAGATTATTGACTGACTATCTATCTATCTATCTATCTATCTATCTATCTATCTATCTATCTATCTATCTATTCATCAATGTGTGTATGTAAGTGAATGTAAGTATGTAGGCATGCTATGTCGCCTTTGTCTCAGTATTTCGAATTATTTTTTACTTCGAAATTTTCGCGAGTCAAGATAATGTTCAAGATAAGAGCTGATCACTTATCGAATCCTGTTATCTCAAAAAATCATTTTTACGGATTTTTCTTTCCACAATTCTTATTGTTATTTCTTTTTTTTCCAAAGCCAAGTTACTTTCAATTGCAAAACAACTTTAACATTATCATCAAGATAGTATCATTAACCATGACTTGTATGCGTTTAAGATTTCCACTTTAAACAGTGTCATATTCCATTCGAGTGGGCGTACGTTTAAAGAATTGCTGGTGTACGTGATTACTGCTGGGATTTTAACTTAAGCTAGGGTTAGACGACCACAACCTTTTTCATTACCAAGCAGTATCAGCGTTAGCGCTCGTGTAAAATGTACAGACTTTTTTTTTTTATTAATATCTGTAAAGGTTGACTATAAAGATAACAATTCTTTGTGATTATTCTCTTGATAGGTAATGTCGTGAGAGATTGGTTTGCTTTTCAGTACACTCACCTGTTCTTTTCTTCAACTGTCGTATAATATCAAAGAATAGTTATATATATTTATTTATATAGCGACGAGAAAGAGCATAGAAAAACGAGAATTCATGTCTTTCTCCGAATGTGTTATTAGTAATAATTAAGATAATGAGGTTGTTTTAATAATTTTAGCAATAAAGCCACTAAGACGCAAGGAGGTTATTGAGTGTGAAAGAATATGAGAGAGAACAATAAAAAAACAGGAATTAAAATTTGGTTGATTTTGTTTTCCGGCATATCAACCTTTATGGGTTATTTAATGCCAAACTCTAAATATTTTGAACACAATTATATGGTTTCAACTAACTAACTAACCTGGCCGTTGGTCTCGAAAAGGATCTCCAATCGATTGTTAAATGGCTTGTTAAATTTAATGCCTCAAAATGATGTTCAACTCCAGGAGAGTACCTCTCAGCGACCACTTGGTCTCACACTGTTCGCTGACCTCAGATGGAATGATTACATTGAATCAATAGCTTCATCTACCGCAAGGAAAATTGGTTCTCTGTGTCGCGCCAGAACCTTTTTTCTATCCCGCATCCATCCTTCAAATCGATAAATCAACCATTCGCCCTTGCATGGAATATTGCTGTCATATATGATCTGGAGCCTCCACTGTTCGTCTTAGGGTCCTCGACAAATACAGAGACGAATATGCAATGTGGTTGGCCCTGATCTGGCATCTCGTTTACAGTCGCTCTCTCACAGACGTGCCGTTGCCTCTCTCTGTCTTTTCTACAAATACTTTCAGGGTAACTGCTACGACGAGCTATTTTCGCTAGTTCCCAAACTGCATGAATTTAAACTTGCCACTAGGTCGGCATTTCAGTCCCACCCTTTCACTGTCGAAACAGTTAAATGTAGATGTCTCTTCTACTCCAATAGCTTCATGACTCGCACTTCCCGTCTCTGGGACTCTCTTACTTGCTTCCCTGATAGCTATAATTTCCAACTATTTAAATGCAATGTCAATCGACATCTCCAGATGTCTTGATCTAGTCCCCATCCTTCTCTTCGTTCTTTCCTCTTTTTCTCCTCTTTACTCTTGCTCCCGTGCTAGTGGCACTCCCGCCTTGCTTGGGATGAAAAAACAAAAAAAAAAAAAAAAACAAAAAACAAAAGCAAACTAACTAAATAAATAGCTATTGTTGGTATTATTTTTTAATATAAAAATGTGTTTTTATACTTTCATAATGTTTTGTTTTTGTTTTGCGGCTTACTATTTGCCCATAGCTGGGACCCTAACAGGTTCTACCACCCCGGGTCAAAGTGAACCTGGGAACAGTAGAAATTAAGAGGTGGTTCCACGCTATTCAAAGTCTTCTGCTCAGAGGCCTTGTTGCTGGATGTAGTTTATCGTAATCCCTAGGATTAAGAAGAATTGCATTTAAATATTTGAATGGGTTTCCTTGATTTTATGACCTTGTCCTAAGGCAAGCTTAGCAAAAATAATGTTATCGTGACCGGATCATTATAAATATTAAGCATGATTCTGATCTGTTTTGGTTGGAATTCTTAGGTGAGCTGAAGCCATTATTCAAACTAGTTTTTCGACCAGTGTGCATCAGTCGGTGGGCCCGCAATTTTCTCAAGTAATTCGTTTGTCACTACAAATTTGATTGCGGTAAGGGAGCTTTTGCCTTTCGGATTCGTATAGAAATAGTGATTAAATATTAAATACTACCGGATGCGTTACTCAACTGAGGAAGAAGTGATAGTCCATCGGCCGAAGCGTAGGAATAAGAAAGTGGAATTTGAATATTTAATTAAATATTTAAGTAAAATATTAAAGAGGACTTTAAATATATTAAATAGTGGTTGATCAGATCTTTTCAGCAGTCGAAAAACAAACGTTAAATTTGAAGGCTTCCCTGAGTTTTTTTAGTCAGTCATTGCAAGTAATTTCTTTAAAATCTTACATTGAACATACATTGCAGGGTGATGGCATGCAGGTCAGTTTCACAAGCCATTGTCAACTGCTTCGGTTGTCGGTGGGTCAAAGTCAGTTCAACAAATATCTGCCATAGAAAGATGGTCACAGTGTAAAATTCGTGTAATATTTTAACTTAACCTTTAAACAGCGGGAAAAGGTTTCACAAAAGTGAACGGCAAATAAGTAAAAATGAGAGAAAAGTCATTAGCATAGTTTTATGCCTATTTTCGCTTTAATTTTAGTTTCATAAATGTAATATTATTATTAGCATAATATTCCTTGGAGAATGAAATTGTTCATTCTTTTCACCATTTTCTCTCTTCTCTTCTAAAAATATGATGTAGACATCGAATTATCTCTGTTTTTTTCTTTCTGGTTTATTTGCAGGCGAATGTTTCAGAAGATCACGTAACATCATGAATCCTAGTAAATATTAAACAAATGAATTCAAGTGCAGCCGATTAGTCATTTAAACTTGAATCATGACTATACGTTGGGAAAAACGTTTAAATCATCCTTTGATATTATCCATTGATCTCGAATGAAACATTAATTGATGATGGCCCCCGTTTAAGGTTTGGATCACTTCAATAAATATCCACAGAATAGGGGGTTGGTAGCAACTGTTAGTGCCCCAGCTATGGGTAAATAGTTAACCCCCAAACTACGTTCAAAACACTAGATTTTTAATATTAAAATTATCACCAATTCATTTTTGAAAAGAAATTACCAGCAATAAATTTGATTCTCGACCCTCTTCATAAAAATACGTCAATGAAACCTGATCTCCTACAAACTGATTTCTTACAAAGAATACAATATTCTATTCATATAAACCCCTCATAAAAAACATTGTCGGCATTAAATAACACTTTGATGGTGATATACCGTAAAATAAAATAAGCAAAACCAAATCAAACCATCGACGGAAAAGTACTCAGGGATAAACAAAGATGCCAAGCGCCTCGCTTTCTAATACATGTCGACACTTAGAAAATTTAGTTAACCCTACAACACTAAACATGGGTATATAGTACCCAGCGCAAATTTTTCTATTTTTAATTACAATTTTCAGTACCTAATTTTCTTACCTAAATAATATGTTTTTCAGTTCCTATAAATGTTAACTCAAATTACAAAGTTTGATAAAAAAATAAAAGATATTTCAAATAAAGCTTTATATTTAATATTTTTTTTGATATTTTCAAAATCGGGTATGATATACCCATGGTTAGTAGTAGTGTAACTTTAATTGATGGTTAGTGTTCTAGGGTTAAAGTCATCAAGCTGGGTGTATGGGTTCCACGCGTTATTAGCGAAAAGAACAAAAAAGAATATTACTAAATAAAAAAACGAAATCATTTATGACTCAACCTAATATTTCCGACCCAAGCAACTTACTTAACAATCATAAGATACAAACATGAAAAAATACATTGTCCCAAATGAATAAATGCAAGACTCTTTTATTCCGTTTGATAACAGTAACCTATGTATGTTGGACGTACCGCGTCACTATAATTCCAAACATAGGATAAACGGCTTTTTTGACCACACACGTAATACAATACAAATATATGGGGCAAGGATAAGTGATTTTCTCTTGCTGTAGTGGTATTAGAAAATACAACACAACTTTCTGTTTGGTTGATTGCTCCTATCCAGTCTACAGTACAATGAGGAGAAAAAGAGAGATCGAACGGTACTTTTCTTATTGAAAACCGTCTGGATGGAATAAGTTTCTGTTATTTCAGAGCAGAGGTGGAAGAAGAGAAGTTAGAGGAAAAGAGAGAAGGTGAGAGGAGACAATGTGTAGAGAGAATATTTATGTGTGGAGAGATTTAAGCCTTCAGGGGAAAAGTAAGAGGTGATGCGGAGAAAGAGAGATAAAAAAATAGTTGGTGGGAAGTTGGGACAATGTCTATGAGTGTGAGAGAGGGATAGTGGAAAAAGAGAGAAAGTAAGAGTGGGGCAAAGTGGAGCGAACATTCTGTCGATACTTGTTCTTCTTAGGCTTTTCTCAAAGAGAGGTCAAGGAAAAGAGATGCTAATAAAAAGAAAGAGGTGGAAAAACTGAAGGGCGAGGCAAATCGACAAAAAAAAAGGACGAAAAAGGGAAATATTTGTGGAGAGTTTCTTGTCAGTCTTACATCTCTGAGAGACAAGAAATGAGAAATAGTATAGTATAGTATAGATAGATAGATAGATAGATAAAGGGAGGGGTTGACAAAGAGAAAGAGAGAGAGAGAGAGCGAGCTGTCTAATTGAGATATTGGAGAAGGTTAAATAATCAGAAGTGTTTACAATTTTGGTTTATTGCACACGCTATAAAAAGAAAAATATAACTTTTACATTGGACACATATCGAAAATACTCTAAAATTTGTCAAAATATTCTTTGCTCCCGACTTAATTTGAAGAAGGAAATTTTACGAGATATTTTGAAATTGGAAAATATTTCAGAAATTATTTTCGATATATTTTTGTCATAGTTAACCTCATTCCTTCTAAAAACGACATAATATTTATTTTTATAAATGAAATAAAAATAAAGAAAACACTGATATGTCAAAGGTGCTGAAAGTTTTAACCGAATGGTTACTAAAAAGAAAAAAATGCACGTCCATGCCAATTAAAACTTAAAGAGAAGGTGTTTTTTTTTTTTAAATAGGAAGAAATAAACAGCGCCATATTTGATTCAACAATCATCACAACGATAATGGATGTCTTGATAACAGTTACTTAAAGGCGAGAAGAGCATCTTTTTTGCAGCTTGGTGTTCCGCTCTCAAAGTAACATGTATACAACTCTTGATCGAACCGATTAGCATTGAAAATCGTGTCCATGATCTTCTCGAATTTTCCCGATTTAAAAAAAAAAATGCTATTTGCGTGTTAAAATATCTAGATTAGTGGATTTAATGTCATTTCAACACATTCTTACTTCCCTACCGCTTACAACCTTCAAAAATTTCAATGCAACGCCAATCATAATCTGTCTTCCTGAAAGTTCCCCTTTTAGTATCCTTCATCCTCACTAAACGATTCTCATTCTCTCTCAGTCCCAGTAACCACTTGCGTCTTATTGGCATTATCATCTTGCTTTGAGGTGAAATGATTTAAAAGAAACTGCTGAGTCATTCAATGTCAGATACTATTTTTATTTTATTCTTTTTCTTTTCATCCAGAACAAAATATATAAATGTAGATATCTTTAATGTTAGCTTTTCTACGTTAATAACCGTCAAGCCCAATTCCATAATGTTTTAAAATACTTACATATATCTAGTACTATTAATTCTCAACCAGCAACGTTCAAATCAGATCCTCATACTTAGAATATAGGCCCACTACCTTTATGAAAGATGGTAGGTTGTCAACATCGAAATTTTTAATAGGCCCCCAGTTGCTGTTAGCTCTATATAATCACAGTCTTAATAAATTTGTAATCGTTTAAATTGACTGGCATGTAGTATATTTCATGTATTTTTGCCAATTTTAATGACAAATTGTTGAAGAAACAAGTTTGACACCTTTTTTTTTAAAAGAAGAGATTTATCAGTTGACGTGTAATTTTAAATGAGACGGTGAGTATCTTGGGAGCCGTCATGAAAAAGGCTGTAGAAAATGACATCGTCGATTTACCTAAAGAACAATAGCATTCGCGACAGGATTTAACACATGGAATTGGCAAAGTCTTGGAGAAATAAAAAAGCCAACAAGAGATATTCAGAAAACTCATTTGTTGCTTTAAAAGTAGCTTAGATTTCGTGAAAGCTTCTAACAAGAAATCAATTTAAAAATATTGTTATACATTGATTTGGTCTTGTAAAAATGCTATATTTTATGACTTTATTTTCCATCGGCGACATTTAGCGACTAGTATCATTTCGTATTTCAACAGAACACATTTACTATAACAGAGAAGCCGCCAACTGGAAGAATTCACCAAATCATACGTGGGTGAAACAAAGCTGGTTTCAGGCGAATTCCAAATCTTACATTGTTCTCTAGCCAGCCACATTTAAATTCCATTCGGCATGTATCGGACATGTGGCAAATCTCACTAAATTCTCTGCAGCCACACCCAAGTTATGGACAGTCGTGGAATGTGCCTGGACATATATAACCATGTAACGAATCCAGTTACCCTGGGGCACCATGAAACATACCAGATGTGTCCTTATTGCGACAAAAGGAAATATTTCCTTAAAACGCTGCGTCCCTTGAGGAGGTGAGCGATCATAGTTCTCTAAAATCTTCCTATCCTTTGTAACTACGATTATCCATTTACAATCCTCCCGAGTCTCTGTTCTGCCATTCATTTACGGAGGCTCATTAGCTAAGTTTCTATCTGTCCCTCTTGCCTTCAGTATATCTTGTGAGTGTCAAATTCTTCACCCCCTCTTTCCTCATTTTTATTCTAGAAATTTCAACTGTCTCTTTTTGATTCTAAGTACAAGTATCATTTTCGTCCGAATTTCCATAAAGCTTCATCGTTGCCGACATGCTCCATTCAAGGTATTCTCATCATCCTTCTGCAGAACCACACTATAAAAATGTTTTCGATCATGCAAGCAAAGAGAAAAAACAAAAATTAGCTCTATGGAGAATAAAGAAAGTTAGGTTAACTTGGATTATCTTACGATATTGTTGGGTTATTTACTGACGAAGCTTGTATGGCGCGCCCAGTGAGCATTGAACACATTAGGGTCAGTCAGAATGACCACACTAAACATTATCACATGCTGAGTTAAGCTGGCTGATTTTATTATTTGTACACCAATGTTGGATTATTCCATGGAAAAGTCTGTATATAGCATCCACTAAGGATCGAACTCACTACTCGGTAGCAAGAATTAACCGGACAGTCCTCTTTAACCATTACCTCACGCTGACTTAGGCTGGTGAATTTTTATTTGTTCGATCGAGCTATCTCAGACATTTATGAGTCTATCACGTCAAACATCCCGGTCCAGCATCAAGTTCGAAAGTAATTACGTTGGCATTCTGTGCCATAACGTAGCTGGTCGATGTAGATGGTTGCTGGGCGACCAGCTCGTCTTGTGCCATAGCTAGGCGTCAAGAACAGTAGATCAGTTCTTGTTTGGCTCGCCAGCAGTGTCCTACATAGCGCATTCTGCGTTCGCGTAAGATTGTAGAAATCCAGGGCGGGCCCTGAAAAACTGAAGGGTTCCAAAAAGTCATAAGTTCGTTTTCAAAATTTAGAAAAAATGTATTTTCTTGCAATTTATACAGCATCCCTTGGAAATTAAAATGGCTACGTATGATGACCGGCAACGAGTAAATCTCATTGAGTTGTTCTATTCCAGTGAAAGATCAATTATTCCACTTCAGAGAAAATACCGGTAACGTTTTAATGTCTGAGTATCATTCACTCTATGGTTTATTGTGATGGCTGCACACAATATATGTGAGGCCTTTGTTTCTTTCGTTTGTTCATTGTTTCATTGACAAGATCTAGTTTCCGAGTTAACCCGGAAACTAGATCTTGTCAATGAAACAATGAACAAACGAAAGAAACAAAGGCCTCACATATATTGTGTGAAGCCATCACAATAGAAATCTGTCATTATCTGCAAAAAGAAATAAAAGACTTTAAAATCATGTCGAAAAAAAAAAGAGAGTTAGCAATGGTGTAGATTGAATAAAGAAAAGCGTACTTAGTTTCGCAAACAGGTATTCTCGAATGTCTTACGCCCGCTCAAGATTATCACGATGCCTTGCCTCTTCAGGACGTGGACGACCATGGTTGTGCACAAATTCCTATCCTTTGTTGCTCTAAACAAGGTCTGTCTTTTTACTAGCCCTCCCACTCCCCGGTCTGCCATTAAGTAGGTTACACGCTGTTTCCCGCTGTCCTTTTATATGATCTGTGAGTGTCAAATTCTCCAAGCCTTCTATCCCCATTTTTTTAACCAGATATTTCAACCGCTTTATATATATGATTGCATGTACAATTGGCCTTTCTGTCGAGCCTGGTCAGTACCGAGATTCATGGCCGCTTGGGGATACAAAGCTTTGATGTGTGGGTGGTATAATAGATAACCGCTAGGAATTAGTAATCGAAGAGCCGAGTTCCAATTCTTGTTGGGTTCGTTATATTCACTTTGGCGCCAATCCCCTTGTGAAAGATATGAATCCACCTCTTATCTCCCAGCTATGGGTTAATTAGTAGGATTGATATCAGTAAATCCTTATTATCTCCAAAAAAAATTATTAAAATCTAAAAATATTTTCTGGCATTAAATAACCTGGGAAAAAATCGTAAAAAACAAATAAAACCTCTCTTAGCCCAGTGTAACATATATTTATGAAAACAGTCTGCATCATCCTCTTTTTGGGGTATATATATTTGGTGAATATATATATATATATATATATATATATTAGGTTGGTGCAAAAATAATGACGTAATAATGTCGTTTTTTGACGTATTTTTTAACGTCAAAAAACGACATTCTTACTTCATTATTTTTGCTCCAACCTCATATATATATTTGCAGCATTGATGGAATTGAGACTTTCTTGGTGCAGTCACATTTTCTCTGGGCTTGTCGTGTTACAAGGATAAGTGACGACAAAATAACTAAAGTCCTCATGTATAGCCAGCTTAACAGTAGACAAAGGACCGTTGGACGATCGTGGCTCAGGTATAAAGCTAAAGATTAACTTCTCAGCTGCCAATGTGCCTCATACTAACTTCGAGCGAATTCCCTTGGATTTATAAGTGGAGATATTTGTGCCAGAGTTCTACCAGAAAAATTGAAATCAGTCGTATTGACTGGCTAAGAAACGAAAGACAACGGCGAAAGGCGTCAGAAAATGTTCTTGTTGCTATGTCCCGGGATTCTCGCTGTTGCGCAATATGTGGATTGTATGCAGGTCACTAGCAAGACTGAAGTATCACATGCAACACAAACATAAAAACAAACTGAATTGAATTCATTGCAAAGATCAGCCGGTAAGTAAGTCGGTTCACTGTATCAGGCAAGATAATTTTTCTCTCCAGAATTTATCATATATCTATAAGTCTACAATTTGTTCATGCTTAGATTAGAATGTTGCTGCCACATTTACCCGGTGCTCCTTGATAAAATCCAAAGAAGAGTCAAGAATATTACTACTGCTGAAGTGGCGGCTCGGCTTCAGTCACTTTCCCACCACCATAAAATTGCTTCTCTGTGTCTTCTCTATAAATACCTTCATGGTAATTGTTCGAATGATCTCTTCGCTATGGTACCTAGAGTTTTTGAATTTAAGCGCAGCGCTAGACTGGCGTCGAGATCTCATCAATTTACAGTCGAGCTAGCTAGATGTAGCCGTAAGCTCCATGCTAACAGTTTCTTTTCTCGCACTTCTCGCTTGTGGAATTCTCTTCCGGCTCCATGATTTCCAACCAACTTTAATCTGCAAAAATTTAAATGCAATATCAATCGCTATCTACTCTCCTCATGATTACCCTTTCTTCCTGCTTATTATTAATGTTCCTGTTTCTAATTCTTCCACAACCTCTAAACTATTGTGTCTTGGTGGTTTTATAGCTGTGCATGGGCTGATGCCGATTAAATAAATTTAGCACAATCTATATCTATAAAACAGAAGATGTCTGTCTGTCTCTGTGTGTGTGTGTGTGTGCTATTTATGCATGTCCACATTTCTCGATCGATTTCGATGAAATTGTACACACATGTTGCAAATTTGCCAAGGTAGGTCAATCTCCAGGACCCCGGGTTTGGAAGAAAAGTCGATAAAACTCTGGGTGGGTATAACTTTTTGCAAAAGCCAAGGCAAAGTTACACGCGAACAAAATAATTACCGGATGAGCAGATGTTCTTTGCACTTAATGCTAAACATCAGCCAATGTTACAAGGTTTATGTAGAATGCTTGATAGTTTTCCTGCAACATTGGCTTCACACAGATAATTGCAAAAACTGTAAAAAAATTGGGTTTTTCGTACTTAAAATAAAAATTTGAATAACTTCCTCATTTTTTATCCGATTTTCTTCAAACATGTCGCAAAAATTTTTCCATTATACAAGAAAAAAGAATGCTGTTTTAGTCCTGATGGCTAGCTAGCGTATAGCGAAACACTGCTCATAAAGCTCGTTTTTCGGTCATAATTCCCTGCTTTTTCATGCGATGCTTTCCAAATTTGCCATGTAAATTACATATGTCACAAAAATTGTCTTGTGTGAATGTTTGGTTTCAGTTAAGTGGACGAAATCAGTCCAAAATCAGCTTTCGCTATTTAGCCAATAGTTTCTTTATATGATTCCATGCTAAATTGGCATTCGAACAACCTTTGATGCGAAGATTATTTGGGAAGGATTATTGAAGCGTTAAAAGGGAAAATTCCCGAAGAGCCTCTTATTAATTCCTTTTATTTACAGTAAACGTACACAGAAGGAGGGGGCGTTCATGCGTTTTCACTTGCAGTTGAATCAAGCTCTGACCCTTCATCCCTGTTTTTGTTTGATTATTAGAGTTGTGAACAATGCCATACTATTTGAAAGTTATTGCGGCCATGGGAAATTTACTGAATATCTAAAACATTGAAACAATTAACCCCGTACAACGACCACACAAGGGTTTATCGGTGGAATTCCTTTATTACGAACAATGAAACACTTGCGAAGGACAAACGGTAAAAAGATCAGTTGGGGAGTAACTTAGTATACCAGCGAATGATGCATTCAAGTGGGGGATACACAGGCAGACCTTTCTAGACAGAGATTGCGGGTATACAATTGCAGTCGTGTACACCAGGGCGGCGCAGGATACCTCATCTAGTAGATAATAAAAGATAAATTAAGCAGGTGTTCTGAACAATTGTTTATAAAAGGTATTTGATATGTAGGCGATTTTTGTTCTTTGGGAATCAGCGTAAATAAACGTCTTTACATATACATAGGAATGGCTGTACTACGATGTCGTAGTATACTGAAGGGCGTAATTTATTCCCAGATTTTAGCTTCAGAAACACAAGGCTGCATTATACTCAAGAAAATACAGTATACCATAGACGAATAAGATAGAAACAAATGAAATAGGTTGGAGATCATTAATCCAAAATCATTGGGATCTAAGGGTACTGGATAAATGACTGTCGGATTATCGTTGTATAAGAAGACACAAAACACTTCATTCTATAAATCTATACATGTTGATTAATAAAGGAAAAAATATCAAATAAAAATCAAGAGAATCTGTCTATATTTCTGAGATGAGGTATTATGTACACTATTTTCATTGTCCGGACTATTGTCCTCATCTTTGTTGCCATATTTATCACAACGTTTCGGCCGATGTCCGCTCCGGCCTTCTTCAGGTGATTGGAATGTCGAACTGAACCCTTTATTTCGCTCGCTGGGGTAGACTGTTCTAGTTCCACGTGCCATGTCTAATGAATGTCAGTTATCAGTTATCTCCTGTTAATTCCCTCTCCAAATTCTCCACTGCCTTAACCAAGTATTGAACTCACAACTCTTTGGGTACTGTCACTGGATCTAACTAACGCTTTTATCCACTCATTTTGTACACAACTGACTTATCATGACTGCGTGTACAATTGACATTTTTGTCGTGCCTGGTCAGTACCTAGATTCATGGCCGCTTGGGAATACAAAGCTTTGATGCGAGGGTGGGGTAATGAATAACCTCTATGAATTAGAATTCGGAGAGCCGAGTTCCAATTCTTGTCGGGTACGTTATAATGAATTTGGCGAAAATCCACCTGTGAAAGGTATGAATCCAAGGTAGATTCACACCACGAGAAACACATCTTGTATCCATTTTGGCCATGAATTGGTCTAACCCTCAGGAAGTTATAATAACAATGCTTTCGAGACGAGTGGAAATGCCTGATTTGTGTTTGAAAATGCACAAAAACAGTTGACGCTGCAAGTAGAGTCACCAAACACCCGTGTGTTGACTCGGAACACTGCTCTCGTGGAAATTTACACCGGGTTACTGATTGAAGTAAATAACTGGTTACCGGATTGGTGATCGATATGAAGTAGTAGAAACTCAATGAAGCATTATTCCTGGTGAGGTAAAACTTTTTATCTTTTTCGGGTCGATGAAAGAGGACCCTAAATCGATGCCCCGACAAACCAGTAAATTAATGTATAAAACTGTATGCATCAGAGATGCCATCGACACACTTTTTGTAAACTGAAAAAAAAAAGAGGGCTCATCAACATCGGGGACTGTGACTGACTAGTTCAAATAAGATTTACAAATGATACACAACAGAGCAATGAAAATACAATGAAAACAGCTCGAAACAGTACAAATCGAAAAGAGAAGCGCTACAAATAAAGGAAAACTGAGAAAAATAACCATAGAAAATTTGAAAAGTTAGACAGAAGTTACTGCAGAAAAACAGTCGTGGACGCAGCTACGCGAACAAGATTTGAAAAGTTAAACAGAATCTTTTATCATTGCAGTTCAGACAAATTGCATAAAGACCAATTATAAAAGAGCGAACAGAATCTGAGACGAGAACAACGACAAATATCCGCCATTGTGGAGTAAAATGTGCGTTGATAAATCCAATTAAAAGTTAATGCCAAACGCTAGCTTAGAAATGAATAAAATACAATTACGAGATGGTAAAGAATATAAAAACAGATATGACATCATAACAATAAAATACAGGCATGACAGGGTAAAGTATATAGAAAAAAGATACAACATGATAAGAGTAAAATACAGATACATGTAAAGAATATGGAAACAGATACGACATCATGTGAATAAAACAAAAATACAACATAGTAACTAATTTAGAAACAAAAATAACATAATAACAATAAAACATAAATACGACAGGGTAAAGAATATAGAACCAGATAAGACATCATTAGAATAAAATAGAGATATGACACGGTAAAGAATAAAATACAGATGTGATATGGTAAAGAATAAAATACAGATGTGATATGGTAAAGAATAAAATACAGATGTGACACGGTAAAAATAAAATACAGATATGATATGGTAAAGAATAAAATACAGATGTGATATGGTAAAGAATAAACTACAGATGTGACATGGTAAAGAATAAAATACAAATATGATATGGTAAAGAATAAAATACAGATATGATATGGTAAAGAATAAAATACAGATATGATATGGTAAAGAATAAAATTCAAATGGGACATGGTAAAGAATAAAATACAGATATGATATGATAAAGAATAAAATACAGATGTGATATGGGAAAGAATAAAATACAGATATGATATGGTAAAGAATAAAATACAGATATGATATGGTAAAGAATAAAATACAGATGTGCCATGGTAAAGAATAAAATTCAAATGGGACATGGTAAAGAATAAAATACAGATATGATATGGTAAAGAATAAAATACAGATGTGATATGGTAAAGAATAAAATACAGATATGATATGGTAAAGAATAAAATACAGATATGATATGGTAAAGAATAAAATACAGATGTGCCATGGTAAAGAATAAAATTCAAATGGGACATGGTAAAGAAAAAAATACAGATATGATATGGTAAAGAATAAAATAGAGATATGACACGGTAAAGAATAAAATACAGATGTGATATGGTAAAGAATAAAATACAGATATGATATGGTAAAGAATAAAATACAGATATGACACGGTAAAGAATAAAATACAGATATGATATGGTAAAGAATAAAATACAGATGTGACACGGTAAAAATAAAATACAGATATGATATGGTAAAGAATAAAATACAGATGTGACATGGTAAAGAATAAAATACAGATGTGACACGGTAAAAATAAAATACAGACATGATATGGTAAAGAATAAAATACAGATATGATATGGTAAAGAATAAAATACAGATGTGATATGGTAAAGAATAAAATACAGGTATGACACGGTAAAGAATAAAATAGAGATATGACATGGTAAAGAATAAAATACAGACGTGACATGGTACGGAATAAACTACAGATGTGACATGGTAAAGAATAAAATACAGATATGATATGGTAAAGAATAAACTACAGATGTGACATGGTAAAGAATAAAATACAGATGTGACACGGTAAAAATAAAATACAGATATGACATGGTAAAGAATAAAATACAGATATGACATGGTAAAGAATAAAATACAGATATGATATGGTAAAGAATAAAATACAGATATGACACGGTAAAGAATAAAATACAGATGTGATACGGTAAAGAATAAAATAAAGATGTGACACGGTAAAAATAATATACAGATATGATATGGTAAAGAATAAAATACAGATGTGACATGGTAAAGAATAAAATACAGATGTGAGACGGTAAAAATAAAATACAGATATGATATGGTAAAGAATAAAATACAGATATGATATGGTAAAGAATAAAATACAGATGTGATATGGTAAAGAATAAAATACAGATATGACACGGTGAAAATAAAATACAGATATGACATGGTAAAGAATAAAATAGAGATATGACATGGTAAAGAATAAAATACAGACGTGACATGGTACGGAATAAACTACAGATGTGACATGGTAAAGAATAAAATACAGATATGATATGGTAAAGAATAAAATACAGATATGACACGGTAAAGAATAAAATACAGATGTGATATGGTAAAGAATAAAATACAGATATGATACGGTAAAGAATAAAATACGGATGTGATATGGTAAAGAATAAACTACAGATGTGACATGGTAAAGAATAAAATACAGATATGATATGGTAAAGAATAAAATACAGATGTGACATGGTAAAGAATAAAATACAGATGTGACACGGTAAAAATAAAATACAGATATGATATGGTAAAGAATAAAATACAGATATGATATGGTAAAGAATAAAATACAGATGTGACACGGTAAAAATAAAATACAGATATGACACGGTAAAGAATAAAATACAGATGTGACACGGTAAAAATAAAATACAGATATGATATGGTAAAGAATAAAATACAGATATGATATGGTAAAGAATAAAATACAGATATGACACGGTAAAAAATAAAATACAGATATGATATGGTAAAGAATAAAATACAGATGTGACACGGTAAAAATAAAATACAGATATGATATGGTAAAAGAATAAAAATACAGATGTGATATGGTAAAGAATAAAATACAGATATGACACGGTAAAGAATAAAATACAGATATGATATGGTAAAGAATAAAATACAGATGTGACACGGTAAAAATAAAATACAGATATGATATGGTAAAGAATAAAATACAGATATGATATGGTAAAGAATAAAATACAGACGTGACATGGTACGGAATAAACTACAGATGTGACATGGTAAAGAATAAAATACAGATATGATATGGTAAAGAATAAAATACAGATGTGACATGGTAAAGAATAAAATACAGACGTGACATGGTAAAGAATAAAATACAGATGTGACATGGTAAAGAATAAAATACAGACGTGAGGTAGTAAAAATACAAAAATAGATAAGACAGTAAATATTACAATATAGATATAACATAGAAAATAATACAAAATAGAACATAATAAGAAAAATACGGATATTACACAGTAAATAATACAATATGATTGATGTATTTGCTACGGTTTATCAAGCATTTGTGGCTTATTTAAAACCGAAACATATTTTTTTGTAGTTGTAACAATAATACTTTCTCTTATTTTTTGGCGAGTGAATATTGCATCAATATTTTTTGGAAAAAAAAAACAAAAAAAAACAATGATTTTTTTAAGATACAAGTGAATGCAATAAACTCGACCAGAATTTGAACTCGGCTCTCCGATTTCTTATTCCGATTTCCTGTTCATTACACCACCGTCAAATCCGCGGTACAGATATGACATAGAAAAGCATACAATATCGATACAGAAAAGAATACACAAATAGATATCATACAGCAAAGGAGAATTGCTACTGATGGTCGTAATTTGACATTCAGTTATCGTTATTAGTTGAATTTTGTGTTGAAATATGTGATTACAATTTATCACCGAATTACTTACATTTATCAGGAACGAGATTATGCTGAAAAATAAATACCTGTTGGGACGAATAAAAGGTTCTTTCATCATTAGGCTACTGGGACTCACTGGTTTTAAGCCATACTGATAAGGATTCTTGGCGATCACTTTTTTAACTCCCCCCTTTTTTTAGAAAGAAACAGAATCTTTTTTACGATGAATCACAGATTGTAAATAAACTTGGAACAACAATTATTCAATATATTGTCTACAGCCATCACTAATGATACAATGAAAAACAGACAAGAAAGAGACAATAATATAACTAGTAAGGTTCGCCTTCTCCTCCCCCTTCTATTGATACGACAAATGGTAATTCTAATGCCAAGAAAATTCAAGACAAACCTGATAAAAAAAAAGCAAGAAAAAAAAAAAGATATAAAAAGATAAAAAGGAAATACTAAGACTTTAATCAATTTCAATTTCTTTTTGTTCGCCGATTTCAGTAGGAGTTATTTTTTTTTCTCAATCGTCGATCCCCGCACCTTCCCGAGCGTATTTCCGGAAACGGAAGTTCGAACCGAGACAGGCTTAGGAGGAAATCCGCTTCATTTCATCAAAGGAAAAAAAAAAAAAAGGCTCCTTTTTTTTTTGTCAGGATTCTTCATCGCTATCAGTTGATTTATTTTTTTTATTCATAGTCGCCATAAAGATTTAAATAAATAAATGCTAAGAATTCAACGAAAATACGAAATTTTTATCACATTCCGAAATAAGTTTTAGAATACCAAAATTTTTTTAAGAAAGAAGAAAATTAATTTGTTTTTAAATTAAAAAAAAATAACTGATTGTAATTAATTAAGAATACTTACCGATCATTACTTATCTAAGAGTAAAGAAGAAAACCTTTAAGCTATAATTCGGTGTATAGGTGTAAAAAGGAAAACGCTAACAGAACGGTGAACATTATTGATAGCGGGTTTAGGAGAAAAAAGAAAAAAGAAACTATAAATATTCTGATATGCCTATGTGACCCTGGAGAGCAATAACATCGCGAAACTTTTAGTCGGACATACATAAGTATTGTGAAATTTATATTTCTGTATAATAATAATTATTACGCTAGTATTCTATTGAGGACACGCCTTGCCAAGATTCTTCTCACTTGAAAATACGTTAAATTGCATAATTTGCCATATATCAATAGGCGTTATTATTATTATTATTATCTTATTGTTTCTTTTATATATATATATATATATATATATATATATATATATATATATATATATATATTCATGCATGTTTCATTAAATGATATAGACAAGTGTTGTCTATTTATTTTATGTAAATTCTTTTCATAACGTCTGATAAGCTTAACAGCATTATCATTAAATGAAGAAAGAAAATCACAATATTGATACATATTTTTTTATAATCCAATCTAAGCTTTCGGCTTACATAAGCCATTATCAAAGATGACAATTACAGGACAATATATTAAGCAATACACGGACAAGAATGTGATGATAGTCTGTTTCTGTTTACATGGATGATTTCCAAGCAACGATAAACACGTGCATATAAGACGCTGGAAGCGAAAATCGCACCGCAACTCATGACGTCACATATGACCACGCGAGAGTGAATTCGAGAAGTATTAAGTATGGGAAACCGCTGGTATAAACCGATGGTTTATGTTACCAATTATAGGCATTTAAGAATATTTGAGGAGATTTCATAGTTTATTTTGTTCAGGTTAGGTTTCAACTGTTTTTTGTATATAGATTCAAGAATTTTCAGTTTTTGTTTATTGTTTTCAATATATGTATATGTATATGTATATGTATAAAAGGAAGAGGTTATAGTAGTTCCAACGAGAGAAAAGTGTGTATATTAAAAAGAAAAGAGGAACCGCAAACGTTTTTGGTTGTAATGTGGATTTATTTTTAAAAAACAAGATAATGCTTTATTTTCCATAATTTGGCTACACGTGTTTCCGGTCTCGCGACCGTCACCAGGCAAAGGGTGGAGATTTCCACATATTATTAATTTTTTTCTTTATGTTTTTCGATGTTAAATATTCTCGATATGAGACATTCTCTTTTTCGTGTGTTAGTGACCCAAGTATCCTTCTCGAACTGACAGTGAAAAGTTCTGCGTGAAGGGTTATAAAACAATTAAGATTGGTCCGAGAAAGGGTGAAGTAGTTATCGGCATTTTTATCTTTTAATGACCCCTGTGTGTTCTTAGATTTATTTCCATTTTCGTGTGTTTTTGTCAGTATGCGTGTATATATGTGTATATTCCCTCTCCATACATACACACTGTCTCACTACGAGGAATTAGTAAACACATTTGTACACATACACACATATACACACACACAAACACACACTGCCCCATTACAAGGAATCAGTACATACACACACATACATACACACACATACTTCCCAAATTACATGGAATCAGTATAAACACACACACAAACACACATATATATTGTTTATATGTTATTTTTATAGATACAAATATTTAATTCAATGCTTTCTTTTCTTTATAGTAAACAGTGTTTATTACTTTTACCGGCCTGAGTATCTGAGAAATTTCATAGAAAATAGATATCCTCCGACAGGAATCGAAACTGTATCCTACACGGAACCGTCATATATCCTGACGTGCTATACCATTTAGCTACAGAGAAAGCGTATCGTTTGAGTCACTTAACAAAATATTATAGCATTAAATATGGAGGTTTGGCTATATCCTCCTTATTCTCCTGACTCTGCTCCAACTCAATTTTTCAGATCATTGAAACAATTTTAAGAGATTAAAAAAATAACATACAGTGTTTCTTTGCATCAACACCTGAAGAACATAACGCCCGAAGGTTCGGCAATTTGTCAATTAGATTGGATGGTGTGATCGATAATCCTGATATTTTATAGATTCTACAGTAATATGGCAAAAATACCAGGATGTAGCCAACGGAATATTGCCTACCATAATGGCAGCACATGGTTCTTGATAATGACTAAAACGTCCGAAAGTAATTGAACAAAAACAACAGTGCACACATACACTTCGAACATGTTAGCCACAACATTTACAACTTAATTAAAAATTAGAAACATTCAATAAAAAATTAAAAAGACAAACCTTTTCGGTTGAATTCAATAAAACTTGTATATATATATATATATATATATATATATATATATATATATATATATATATAAATAATCAGGCATTACGCCTACTGACTCTTTTCAGTGAATATTTATGAGAGAAGATGTTTGGAAGAAGTAAGTAAGCCGGAAAATGTAACAGAGAATGTCCAAGAGATATATTACCCAATGTCTGTTCGCTTCAACACGGGACTTATTTATTTTCGCTTTTATCTGTCTTAGCTTCAGGCTGCTGTCTTAACTTCGCATCTTGTCACGTGATCAAATAGATCCGCCATATTTGCCTTCTACTTGTTTTCAGAAAAAAATGGATGTGTGGATTATAAAAAAAAAAACATGCGTTTGGCTAGAATCTGATGATTTGATTGGACACTGTCAAGTCTGAGAATGGTAGCAAAAGCTTTTTTCTGTCACTGCCACATAAAGGTAGGTTGTGTGAAACGAGTTTTTTTGACACCAAAACAAGGTAAAATGTTCATATAAACGTATCTCCTCAAATCCTTCGATTTTGAGTTAAGTTAGACTAAGTTACAATTGCCATGTATATTTGATAAACCATATATATATATATATATATATATATATATATATATATATATATATATATATATATATATATATATGTGTGTGTGTGTGTGTGTGTGTGTGTGCCTGTGTGTGTGTGTGTGTGTGTGTGTGTGCCTGTGTGTGTAAAAAGTGGGCATTGAAGTGTACCTGATGATTGTGTTTAGCATGAAACAGATTGTGGCCTCTGGATGTTGGCTTCAATCCTCACTTTTTATATTTACATACGCCCTTGATACTGACCACGTAAACCCATATAGAATAACTTAAAACTATATTTTATTATATATATATATATATATATATATATATATATATATATATATATACACATATATATATATAGTTAAGTTATGAAGAACTTGGTAAACCGAATTGGTAAATCCAAGGAGGATGAAATCCTGAGAGCTCAATGTGAAGAACAGAGCTAATATTTAATGAAAAACAGACACTTTAAGGTACCATTACAATAATTTATTTCACCAAAATCCTTTATATATATATATATATATATATATATATATATATGAAGAAGAGTGCTAAATACCGAAAAGTGAGAATTTGTTGATATAGACGATGTGAACTTAGTAATCAACACTGAATCGTGACTCAGTTTCACGCCTCAAACAGTCTTCAGACACGGAGTCGATCTGCATTTCTCCTGCTTAGGCTTAAACACACACATTCTTTTATACTTCAAAACTT